AAAAAAAAAAAAAAAAAAGGTAACTAAAACTATTGCTGTATAAGAGTAATAATTTTTCTAGGTCAGTGTGATAGGTCTTAGAGTTTTATACCAGCCCTTTTCACTGAGGGATGAATAAAGCAGTAAATAAAATGAGAAAAGAAAGAAGGAAAATAATCTAATCCTTAAGAAAAAAGTCCTTTGAAGATAATTCAAAAATAATTTTTAAAAAATTTGTTTTCCATGCTTTAAAACTCTTGATATCTCTAATTCACATTCATTTTAAACCTTTCCAAAGTCATAAAATATGTTTAAAACCTATCCTCCCTAACTGATAGCGCCATATCTTCTCATTCTTAAGCCTCCTTTAGAGAGTCTGACATGCTTTGGACAGTGCTTCCCATTTGTAATGTTTTAACACTGATCCAAACTGTATATATGTTCATATTGACAAGGAAATACGAGGCAAAGCGATAACGTTTAAGATTCCTGATGAGTTAGAGTGGGCATTTGAAAACAGTCTCAGATGCAGAGTAGCCTGGGCCATGACCCTTCTGTCAGGGAAGGCTCTTGTGAATTCATAGATTTAGAAGTGGACTCCAGGAAATATCTAGTACTTCCCTTTGTTAAAAGCGTCTAGAGCAAGAATCTGAAGTAATGTTCCATCATGGATATGGCAATGTGCAGAGGCCGGTGGTTGCCCAACTCTGGAAATTGACTCAAAAGCTTTGGACCACCATTATGGTGGGCAAACCGTATGGTGTGTCAGTCATTTCTCAATACAACTATAATATGTCTAATGAAATAGTTTTACTCATCATTTGTAGCCCTGTTCCATGTGCATTATCTAATCTTCATAGTTCCGAGGCTTTGATTTTGTTCACTGTGTGTCTTTCTAATACAGTCTCGGCCTCCTCTCTCTTCCTGTCCTCAGCTGCCCGCCACACTCTGCGTCTGTTCCTTCTGTCCTTCCCCACCACTGACCCTGCCTGTTTGGGATTTCCCGTTGGCATTTGGGCCATAGAGATGTGATCTGTAGAGTCTACATAGACTTCCTGGTGTGACAGATACCTCTGAGTGCGTTTCGCTTTTTTAGTTTTGTCTAATACTTTTCCATGACCTCGTTTATCCCAAACGACCAGCACATTCTAATGCTTAATCAGCCAACTCTTGACATGCGTGCTTGGCCTCCCTGAGATGCAGTTAATCGCTTCTGAAATCTGCAGTAAGAGAAGGAAAGATGTTGAAGTTCTATTTTTTTTTCCTTACATGCATTTGCATCACCAGCAGTTCATTTAAATGTAAATAGCAGGCATGCATTTGTTTCCATTGCTTTTCAGCTGCTCCCCACGGGGCACACATCCCAAGCTGCCCCCCTCCATGGATCCCTGAAACCTCAGATAGTACTGAACCCCTGCATCTGCTTTTTCTTATACATACGTACATACCTACGATCAAATTTTGTTTAGAAAGTAGGCATAGTAAGAGATTAACAACAACTAGCAATAAAAAAGAGCAATTACAGCAACAATATGCCAGCTCACTACTTTTGTGCTTGGGGGTCATTCTTAAGTAAAATACGGGTTCCTTGAACACAAGTACTGTGATACCACAATAGTCAATCCTATAAGAAGACAGCTCCTAGGTGACTCATGAGCAGGGAGTGCAGGCAGCGTGGATACACTGGACAAAGGAAGGATTTATGTCCTGGAAGGAGCAAGACAGCATCAGATTTCATCTCAAAAATACTCGTTTAAAAGGCTCAGTGGTGGTTCACCTGTAATCCCAGCACTTTGGGATACTGAGTCTAGCAGATTGCCTGAGCCCGCAGGTTCGAGACCAGCCCTGGCATCTTGCGATACCTTGTCTCTACAATAAATAAAAAAATTAGCCGGGTGTGGTAGCATGCACCTGTAGTTCCAGCTACTTGGAAGGCTGAGAAGGATCATTGGAGCCCAGCAGGTCGACGCTGGGGTGGCTGTGAGTGTGCCACTGCATCCCAGCCTGGGTGACAGAGTGAGACTCCAACTC